AGGGTGTGGGTTGTGGTTTTTTTTTTTTTTTTTTTTTTTTTTTTCCAAGTCTGACACAAGGCATTAAGATGTGAATCCCCTTTCCCCACCGTGGATTATGAAGAGCTGAATGTATCCAGGCACATGGAACTGAAGTACTTTTGTTAGTGTTTCTTGTCGATGGGGCAGATTTATAGGCAGAGCTTGAAGTTCACATCTTTAAAAACTCTTGATTGCATCTTTATTTCCTAGTTACCTGGCTGTGCTTTCTCTACAGACAAAGAGAGTCTCAGCATTCCTTCCCTCTTGGGAAACTTTCTTAGATAACCTTGTACAAGTCCTTTAATCCTTAAGGCAACAATCAGTGTAAGTGATTTTCAACAACTAGACAAGACCTTCAGTTTTCTCATGCTCCACTTTTTAAAATGATAAATGTCCTAAATATCTTCTCATAGACAGCACTTGGCAGAAAAAATAATGCTAACAGAATAGTTTACATTCATATAAACAACAACATAGTATCATACTAAGACAATTGTGACAGTCTAGAATAACTTTAGTATTAAAATAATTCCATGGACTGATACTATGTTGAGAGAATGACTGCATGGCTTGTGAGAAATGGCTCTTTTTTAATGCTGTATATTTGACACAAGGGCTACAACTAAGTGGATTATAGGAATAGATTTGCTATTTAGGATGTTTTCACTTACTTTCAGTCTGCATTTCCTGATGTATTTACATCCGACTCAGCAGAACTATTTTAACTCTTTTAACATTAATATTCTTTTAATATTTTCTTGTCAGTATGTTCAGTGTCTGTAATTTTTCTTATTGTTTCTCAGTTCCCTGGAATTTATTGACACATTTGCCTGTTAAGGCTCTCATAAGAAATGAAATATTCTTAATAAATCTAATTAGGATCCTTTGGCTCATCTGTGGTCTCTCTGCAGTCAGAAACTGCCTTTTTTTTTTTTTTGGTGATATTGCATTGCCAACTCATATCTAATTTGCTGCCAGCTGTTACCCATAAGTCTCTTCAGTCCTCTTTTCCAAGTATATCCTCCCACTGAATATCCCTTTTGGATTTTAAGTTATTTAATGTTGAATTATCTCCTTGGCAGAGGTGTAGAATTTGAGAATTATGAAGCCTTTAGACTCAAATTTATTTACAAAAGAGGTATTATATGGATAGCAGCTAATCATTTTTCCCCCAATATTGTTTTGCTAACGTGCTCCATATCTCAAAGGGGCAGGGACACACCTAAAATGATGCCAGTTTTCTGGGCCTGCAGGTTTCTTGGAGTCTTTTTTGGTATTGCATGGTTCAGAAAAGTGATCCACTTTGTGGTTGTCAGTCTTCAGGAATGGGATTAAATTTCTTGTAGGTTTTTTTGTATATTTTGCTGAATACTAAGTAAATAAATGTATATTTATATGTATGCTTGGACAAGTAAGAGAAAACTTATACCTCTTCACAAAATCATTTTCCTTTCTGGTTCTGTTTTGTCACATGTTGCCTTGTTGCCTGGGTACAAAGTGAATAGACATCATGTTTATGAATAGTTTCAAGTTTCAGAAGTGGAGAGATACATGTGCTTGTATGTGTACAGGAAGGCAAAAGCAAACTGGAGAAGGAAAGGGCTATGAGTAGCAATAAATGATTTAGTTAAACAGAGATAAAATGTTGGCTGCCTCATTTATCATTGGTAGGCTTTTTGTAATCTTTTTTGCGATCTTCTCAAGCTCATCTCCAATTCTTCTGAGGCTTGTACATCACGGCAGTGAGCTTTACCACTAGGTGTTAGAAATGATGAGCAAAATTGCAATGCACGAAAACTTTTACATATACAGTAGGAAGTATAAAACACTTTTTTTTTTAAGAATACAACTAAAATGCATAAAGATTCAGCTTAAGTATAAAATGCAAATTGCGCTGACTGCTACATTTAAAGCATACACTTCTATTCAATGAGTTTGCTGCTCTTTCTCTATCCACTGGTTTTGAACTGTCTGATGGCTTCTTTGCTCACTTTTATCATCTCTTCATATTCTCCTGGATTTCCTGATGGTGTAGACAAAGTGATTTTTTTTAGGCCAAATGGGAGAACCAGAATAATCATTGTGGTGGGAAAATTTGGGTTATCAGAGATGTTGAAATAAGTCAAGGCAGAGAAGAGGGAAGGCTTCATGGGAACTGGGACATGGTAGTGGACATGTCTATGAGGAGGCCGTTTGGCTGTGGCCCTTCTGGGGGGATGCACTTGCTATCCTGCGGCAATATTCAGTTTTAACTTAAGCCAGCTGTAGCTTTTGTAAAAGAATGGGTGGGTAGTTCGTTTATCTGGACAGAAAGCACACCTGTAATGAGCATCTTCTGTCATGTTTGTACCCCAGAGTTACAGATTTCTACTCCAAAGAAGTAGTTCTGTGTCTGACAGATTTTAAACTGATTGCTGCTTGTATTTAGTAGCTCTGTTCTTCCAAAGCAACCACCTGAAGCTAAAATGGTAGGAAAACCACCATGCAGCTTAACTACAGGAGATACTTCAGTTGCATAAATGAGTTTCTTCATGTCTTAAGGAATATTTAGTAATATCTATGTTTTGTTAAAGCAATGTGGCTCCACTGTTAGATATACCAAAGAAGATTTTTATTTTAATGGCCTACTGAATCTCCAAAGCTTTTATATCTATTCATTAGCACTATTGTTAGATTGGAAATGTAGTAGAAAATGATTGCTTATTTTTTCTTTAGTTTTAACCAGCAAATCTCTTTTATTAAATCAATTTTATTGAGATTTAGAAACCTCCCACAAGCATTTGACAGCATTTCTCTGAAAGATTTAGTTGCAGAGACCTACTACTGTGAAGTTAAAAGTAAAATTGTGGTCTGAAATACTTTTCTGGTTTAGGTATAACAATAAATGCTGAGATTATACTTGTTTTGAAGTGCTTAAAATGCATGTAATAATCCAGGCATTACAGTGCACAGAATGTCCTTAAACTTTTCCCTGTTCAAACATTTCATTAATGCTTCTCTCCAGCTCAGAGCCACCACAACTGTTGTGTGTGGGATTAACAAAATCAAATAGGAAATTAGCAAGTGTGCAGCGTAAATCCAAACCTCTTGCTGAAGGTTTCCTGCTACTGAGATAATTTACCTTCTCGAGGTCTGTAGGATGTACAAGCCAAATACAAATGCTTGCTCAGGAAGTCTTTAGTGTCTTTTTTTAATGACTTTTAATGATTTTTTAAGGAAAAAAAAATCTCTTAGATTATAATACCCATGCCACTAAAGTTGTCATAACAAAACAAAATGTCATGCTCTTAAATATAAAATGTTAATGTTCTGTTGCAACAAAATGTATAATCAATGTGTGTTTTACATTTTTCTCTCTGTTTTGGAAGTGTGTTTCACAACAGAAGTGTGTTTTAATATTTTTATGTAAGTAGAATTACACCAGCGTTCCTCAGGATCTCTGGCATTAAAACTTCCCTAATGTTGAGGTTATGGCATCAAAACTAACTTCTCAAATTCATATTGGGTGAATAAAACAACTGTTGTTAACATTAAATGACCTCAAAAATAATTAATTGCATGAAAATATAGTCAGTGTCTCAGAAAAGTCATCAATGGGGTGTTGAATACAGAGGGTATAAATGCAATCTTACATGGTATTTGAAATCTAGAAAAAATATAAAGTTAAGTCTGGATGTAGCTACACATGTAAGAATATGTCCTAGAGGAGCGAAAAATACTGAACATTTTTTCATTTTTTTATTTTTCAGGTCAAAACTGTGGAGGTTTAGTACAAGGACCCAATGGTACTATAGAAAGTCCTGGATTCCCTCATGGTTATCCAAATTATGCCAACTGCACATGGATCATTATCACAGGAGAACGTAACAGGATACAATTGTCATTTCATACTTTTGCCCTGGAGGAAGATTTTGATATTTTGTCAATTTATGATGGACAGCCTCAGCAAGGCAATTTAAAAGTGAGGTAAAGTACTTTTCATTTTCTTCCTTTCTTTATGGCTTTCTCTCTTTCTCTCTTGAATATATATTCTGATGATATGTTGCAACTGTGCTTCAGCAGTGTTTTATTAGTTCTTTCGCAGCTAAAGCAAGAGCTATGTCCAAAATCTTGTAGCAAAACAAGCTATGCCAGCTTCAGATCTTTATGGCCAGTAGTATCAGCCTTCCTTCAAATTCTCATGGTTTGACATTGGGTTTGGTAAAGACCCCAAGTACCTGAAACCCTCCAAATAGCTTATTTTGGCATTCTGTCTCCCTGTGGAATCCAAGCCAGCTGTGGTGCCTAGGTTTGCAGTGCAAGGGGAGATGAGGTAAATACCTTATTATATTGCTTTTTTTTTTCCAAATGAAATATATGGAGCAATGAGCCCTCTTTGCTCAGAATATACAGTGCACATCTGTCTAATGCCAATGAATGCAAAATCCTGGAGGGTAACACTTGTTTTTTTCTCCCTCGCCCTTTCTCTGTAGAGCCTCACTCAGGGATGCAGGGGACATTCATTTTCAGTTGTCTACTGCAGTTCGAAGACCCATTCCCGAAGACAACCAGCTCCATTCTTTGAAATTGCTCTTATTGAGATCTTTATTTTCTTTTAAACTGGGCAATAGTTTAAGCAGAAGGTGGTTATATTGCCTGGGGTCTCTCTCTGAATGTGGCATGGAAGTGGTGGCAAGTACAATAGTTTATGAGAGGTCCAATCTCTTAGTAAATGTGCTTACAAGCAAGTGTTGCTGGCAGTGCTGCTCTTGTCATGTGGTGTCCACACACAGATTTATAAAGTTCTGAAAAACATTGCTGTCAGTTCTGTTGTCTGATTACTCTTTAACCCACTGCTGATTCATATTATACTGCTAAAACAAATGTGGAAGCATCACCAATATGTTCTGCATTTTGTGAGTATCCTCACATATTTTTGACAAAAACAATATTCTGATTCATTGTTACTCAACTCAAAAAAGTTTTGGAAATTGTGGAAGGTAGCACAGCTACCACTGCTTGACTTGTACAGTTTGTGTATTTCATTTACAGTGCTTAATTGACCTCTGCTGCTTATATCACCTTTTTACAAGGAATATTATTTCACTTTCTGTCAGATGCTTTTATTATCTACAGCTACCATGCCTGTTGTTTTTGCAATTTTCTATTATGTGAAAATTATTTCAAGGCAGAACACCAAGTGGTGCTCTGTGGGTATAAGAATAGAAGATGCAGCTATCTAAGTATAATCTTGAGCCCATTAATATCTTTTAATTAGCACTGATTTCAGTAAAATAAGGATTTAATTTCCAAATTCCAGCACTGAAATTGAGATTTTATTTGTCCTTGCTTTCATTGGCCAATTAGTTTACTTTGTAAATAGTGTCATACAGAAGAAAGTACTCAGTGAATCTGAGTTATAAAGGCTGAATTCGGATGACAGGTTCGTACTGACATGTCTCATACTCAATGGTTTAAATTTTCCTCAACTCTGTTGCACAAAATACATTGACACATGTACTCTTCTGCAGTTTTGCATTCCATGACAATTCACTTCTTAGCAAATAATTTTTAAATGTAGTCTTTTTTTGGTAGCTGACAACATACAAGTGCAAGAGAGCATCTTGGAACCTCTACTTCAGGGTATACATCATAATGGTTTTTGCATGGATGAAAATACTGGCCTAGATTTTGGATAATTTTATTTCCTTGGCCATGCAAAAAGTGAAGGTTTTTCTTTTAAAAAAAAGCTTCCATACAGTTAAACCAGCTACTTAATTGTATAGCACTCACAAACTGTTATGACTGAATAATACTCCCTCGTGTTTGTTGGCTGCTAAAGCAAAACTGACTAAAGCTAGCTGACTGTACTGCCTGGGGGACCTTTGTGTATGCTGAATGTGTGTCAGGACACCAGCACTAAATATGGATTTCTGAAACCCAGAAAATAGAAATATATTTATAATATTTTGGAATCACTCAGTAAAGGAGTAAGTTGCAAATTACTTCTTTAGAGGAAGAAAAGAATAACAAAATCTGGTTGTGAGGTTGTTTATGAATTTATGTTTTATCCATCTTTAAAAGTCTATGCTGATTTAATGGATAAATTAGATAGTATTGGTCATAGGTACTTGTGAATTGTGTTATGAGGAAGTTGATAAGTAAGATGGTAGCAGAAAAAACAACCTTTAGTTTGCTTAGGTTTTTTTTTTTTTTTTTTTTTTTGGTAATCAACAAAATAACACACAAGGAAATGCCATCATTTGGTTAAAACCGCAGGTGGTTTCCTTGTACTGTGTATACTTTGTAAGACCTGGGGCCCCAAATTGTCGTAAACTACAGGCCTAGCCCCTTAATTTTTATCACTATGTTGCTTATAGAACACAAAACTGCATTTGATAGAGATATATAAAAGAAACATTCAATTTTAAGTCCAGTGCCAGCTGTTATGATAATGCTGAGCAGAATCCTTTTGCCTTAGTTCTATAAACATATATAAGATTAGTTTATTAATTTCACTGGCTATTATAACCAAAACAGGTGTTTCAGTTTTATATTATTTGTGGTGCCATTCAAAGAGACCTAGACAGGATGGACAGTTGGGCAGAGGTTGTTGAACCTCATGAGGTTCAACAACGACAACTGCAGGGCCCTGCACCTGGGAAGGAATAACCCCAGGCACCAGTACAGATTAGGGGTTATCCTGCAGGAAAGCAGCTCCAGAGAGAGGGATTTGGAAGTCCTGGTTGACGACAGGTTAACCATGAGTCAGCAGTGTGCCCGCGGGCAAGAAGGCCAATGGGATCCTGGCCTGCATCAGGAGGAGTGTTGCCAGCAGGTCAGGGGAGGGGATCCTGCCCCTCTACTCAGCTCTGGTGAGGCCGCACCTGGAGTATTGTATGCAGTTCTGGGCTCCCCAGTGCAAGAGGGATGTGGAGCTGCTGGAGAGGGTCCAGTGAAGAGCGACAAAATGATTAAGGAACTGGAGCATTTGTCATATGAGGAAAGACTAAGTGAACTGTACCTGTTTAGTCTGGAGAAAAGAAGGCTGAGAGGAGATTTGATTAACATGCTCAAGCATCTGAGGGGTGAGTGTAGGGAGGATGGGGCCAGGCTCTTCTCTGTGGTGGCTGGTTACAGGACGATGGGGAACGGGTGTAAGTTGAAACACAGGAATTTTAATCTCCATATGAGGAAGAACTTCTTTCCTGTGAGGGTGACAGAGCCCTGGAACAGGCTGCCCAGAGAGGTTGTGGAGTCTCCTTCTCTAGAGATCTTCCAAACCTGCCTGGATGCCACCCTGTGCCACGTGCTCTAGGTGTCCCTGTTTGAGCAGGGGCATTGGACTAGATGATCTCTAGAGGTTGCTTCCAACCTTAACCAGTCGGTGATTCTGTGATTATTTGGGGGGTGGAGGGGGAAAGAAAAAGTAAGAAAAACAGTAAAAATTAAGAACTGCATTTTCAGTGGATGAGGAAAGACTTCAAAACACAACCAAATTCTACTTAAGCTGGGGAAAAATGTAATATGAAATGTATTCTTTGCTTGCATCTTGGGATGTAAAAGGGGTGCTACTGGTTAGGTGTGAGGGGCCAACACATGGCACATGGGGGCAGCAACTCCATCCTGCCTCTGAGCTTCTGCCACCCAGTGACCCCAGCAGTTCAGTATAGCTCACACCCTATCAGGATTTATTTTATTTATCAGGATTTTTTAAAAAAACCTATGGTTTATGTGCCAAAAATAAGCAGCAATGAGAAAAGTACCCATGGGACATAGAGAATACAGGACAGACCAGCTCTGAAGAGGCTGAATGTATAGGTAAGAGTGAACTGAAATACTGACCTCCAAATGTGTGGACTGCGGAGAGATGCTTTGGCTACCAGGAGCAAGTGAATTTAACTTTTAAAAAATTTTTAACTATCATTGTAGGCTAATTTTATTATGTATCTGCATTACAGACCCTCAGACCTCAGAGAGAAATTCCAATTAATCTTAGTGCAATCCTGGCTTAGGGTTTATTTTCCTATTAGCAAAATTCATGCATACAGGTTTCATAGAGAGGCATAGTGTGGCACCAGCCGGCCTGGGTGAAGAAAGGTACCAGTATAGAAACCACTGCTACTAAAGAAGTGGCATGTAAAGCAAGTGTAAGACTTGAATTTGAAGTGCTAGAAACATGGTGAATTTGTCCTTTGTGTGTGCAATTGCACTCTTACGATCAGAGATTCCACTTCCTTTTTCAGCTTCAAATATAGGGAAATACTGTAATTTCTGTGTTACAATAGCAGTGAGCAAGAGTTACTATTTAGTAAAACACACTCTCTTCACCTAAGCATTAGTTATATAAGATTTGTTTAATATACACTAGAATCATAATTTTGACTTTTCCTACTGTCCCAATCTGTAAATCCTATCTCAATTTAGTTAATATATTAATTTGCATTTAGCTAGTGTGTAAAAAGAACAAGAGTTCAGTCCTTTAGGCTATCCTAAAAGCTTTTACAAGTTATATATAATGGTGAGAAGAAGACACAAACATACAAAAAAAATTTTTTTTTTTGAGTGTGTATACACAAATATCTGTAATAGATATTTTGAGCATATACATAAATATATTGTGGGCATAATGTAACCTATTTGGAATGTGATTTTAAAATGCGTGCTTGCTTATGTTGTTTTAATGGCTTTCACTCTTCTAGTGGCTTTTGCTTCACTCTTGGTAATAAGTTACTAGTTGCTGATTGTCATTGTCATTGATTGTCATTCAACTAACATTAGTTGAAATGAACAGTTGTGTCCTATTAGATTAGTAACACAAATGATGAAAGCTGATAGAAGACAATGCACTAAAATGACGCTTTGCAAAATTTTATGACAAGCATACGTACAATGTATACTAAATAGTAACATATTCCGCCCTACCTTCTTGAATCATTTTGAAAATATAGGGATTAAATATGAACTCATCCATTCCCTTTTGCTTG